GTGACTTGAATACAGGCGCTCTCTAATATCTTTAATATGTAGTTCCACATCTTGCATGTTTTATATATAGAATAAATATTTATTGTTTTGATTTGAACCCATTTTTATGAATTTATGAAATGAATTTATTGAAATGAATTTATGCATTAAAAAGCCCATCAAAGAAACAAAGAACAGAGTACCATATGTTCTCACTCATAGGCAGACCTTGAACAATTATCATAATACTATAAGAAAGTGATTGGCAGTAGTGGGAAACTGCCAGGGGAAGGAGGGGCACACGTCATCAACAAGGGTACCTGCATAATGAATATTTGTATACCTAATCTGAATTGTACTCCACTGTCAGAGTCCAGCTCCAACACAAGGGTTAGGGCCTAAGGCGAGAGAATCAGACGCGGCAAAGGAAGAAGACATAAGTCAACTCTCTGGGTCGAGTTCGGGACTCTTCCAAAGTTTATTCAATGTTCACATGTTTATATAAGGCATTTTCAACCCTCAACTCCTTCACACATATGCCCACAAAAGCTTCCATTATGTTTTCTTTTACAATTAAACGTTTTACAATGATTTATTTGTTCCTCCCTCTTTTTTGGTTTCCATTATGTTAAAACCAACAGACAGGAACGAAACAACTTTTGCTAAAAATAATTAACTGTAACCTTTCAACCCTTATTCCTTTTATATCATATTTCTAACAATTCTTACATGTAACTTAACGGCAATATATTGGCGTTTACATCTATAACTAATTTTATTGTTTCTTATAACTAACTTTATTATTTCTTAATTATTGCCTATAAACTTTCCTATTATGTATCTATCTTATTCTTATTTTGCTTATGTGAATCATAATTTAATAATGCTTAACAACCTTTATATGAATTATGCTTGACTACTCTTATATACTATATTTGTTTTCTATTTAATTATTTTTTATCTAATTATCTTTAATCATCATCCTATTTTTATCTACTTAACTATTCTCTCCTATATTTTCATACTTATACTACTAGGTCATTTTACTCTTACAAACTTATATCTACTGTGTCTATACTTTCCTGAATTATGTTTAAAAGCAGCTGCCCTCAGGATTGACTTGTCTCAGGTCTCACAGACTTCCTCCTCCATCTTACCCGTCTAAGGTGTTATTTTAGTATAGGGTCTGTTAACCATTAAAAATAAAGAATGGGAAAGTTCTTTTATTTTCTTTATACACAATGGTTTTGCTTTTTTTGGAGACGAAGGTAACTAAACATTCTCTAGCGTCTCTAATGGCTGTGCTTTTGCTGTGTTCCTTATTCATGTCTCAAGCCTTAGTTTCACTAATATATCATTCTTGCCTATTATTAATTAATGCTTTGTTTGTCACCAGAAAGGCATACTTTCTGTCTTAGGCACGCACTTCTAAAGATCAAAGGGGCCCATCAATGGGATCCATGGGGCTTTGCCTCCGGCACGGCCGCTTTAGCTGGGGCCTTGCTCCCAGCCAGCATTTTTCCCATTTTCAGGTAACCCTTACTTTGTCTTCTGTTAGGAGTTGCGGCTCCTGACACTCCACATCTTTGAAATTAAAAAATTTAAAAAGAAACCTTCCAATAATGCCAATATTTGCTTGATTTCTTCTTAACTTTTTTTTTTTTACTGAGTACTAAAGTAACAGATCCTCACTGACAAACATCCAAACAACAAAGAAATAAATAAAGTAGAATGTGAGAGTTCCTCAGAGTTCTTCTTCCCTCCCCCATGAAGTCAGTTAAGTTTGGGAATATTATTTCAGATATTTTCTATGCACAGACTAACATTATATGTCATAAATAAATAGGGCTAAATTATACATGCAATTTTCCATTGTTTTTACTTAAAATGTATTGTGAATTTGTCATTTCACATAAGGACCTGTAACTTTTTATTGAGGCTAAATAGTGTTTTGTCGAATCAATGCGCTTATCATAGTCTGTTTAAATTATCTGCTCTTGAAGCCATTTAGGTTATTTTTAGTTTTTGTTATTTTGACCAATGCTTTAATTTTATATCTTGGTTCATAAATTTTTCATGGATTTTTTCCCTATATTTCTATGGACAAATTCTTAGAAATGGATGTATTAGACCAGAAGATATGAACACTTTATGATTGGATAAAAATTGTCAAATTGCCTCTAGAGAAGTTTCTCTACTATAAACTCCCACCAAAAGCAAATGAGAGCGGTTGTTTCCTTACAATGTCCCTGACACTGAATATTTTGCTCTCAAAGTATCTATCACTCCTATTTCTAAAATATGAGATTGTACCATTTTAAAATTGCATTTTTGTATTAATGAAATAAAATATCTCTTTATATTTATTTATTCATTTTTATTTTTAGCCACTTTTCCTTTAGTGTGTTATTTGTGCATGACCTTTGCCTTGAGTCGATTTTCTTTTTTTCTTATGGATAGTGTCACCTTATCCATCTTATAGGTGAAATTTACCTCAATTTATTTTATTCATGCTTTGACTTTGGTAGTGGTGTATTTTTCCCTCACTTAATATTTTAAGCTTTGTTGCAGACAAATATGTTGATTTTTACTTTCTGATATATGTTTTTTTTAACATGCCTAGAAAAGACTTTCCTATGAAAAATTATATAATCCCATTTTTTTCTCTAATTTTTATATACCTTTAGTTTCTACATCTCTATCTTTGATCCACTTGAAATTTGGTTTAAGGTCAATTACTCTCTGTCTCTTCTCCCTTTCCCCAACAAGACCGTTGCTCCAATCTTCACTGATTTAAAGATACTACCTTTACAATGTACTAAGTGTTCATATGTACTTGAGTTTATTTCTGGTCTCTATTATATTGACATTAATCTGTACTGGTGCTATATAAAGTATACCTTCATAATAGCACATTTAAGATATCTATATGGCAAGCCCTCCTCAATACTGTCTTTCAAAACGTTCCTGATACATTTAGTTTTTCAAATATGTTTAAGATCTATTTTTTTTAAGTTCCAGTAAAAATATTGTTGAAAAATTACATTGTAATAATATTACATTACTGGAATTACTTTGAATTATGGATGTATTAAGGAGAGTTGGCTATTTATACAGTTGTATTATACATGATAAATAAGTAATATCTTTTTATTTATTTGAGTTTTATAGTTTTTTTAGTTGATTATGCACTTTACTTTCTACTTTTACTCTACAAATTTTACATTTTAAAAATATGTTGGGGGATTCACTATTGTGTTTTTTGACAGGTCATTTTTTGTACATAGAAAAGCTATTGATTGAATATCAATTTTGCAACAGTCCATCTTACTAAATTCTCTTATGGTCTCTAATAAGAATTTTCAGTTAAATATCTTAGATATTGAAAGTACACAATGAAAACTAGCATAAATATTGATAAATATGCATCTAGCTCCATTATTTATTTATTTCCTGATTACATGAACACCACTTCAAGAATAATATAAAGTAATAGTATTTCTAACAATAACTTAATTAATCAGTATTAACTCTATTTTTCTTGGTTTTTGCCTCCATTACTTTTTTTTTCCACTTTCATGATTATTAATTTCTTCCTCCCATCCTCTTCATGTTGATTTTTGTGGTACTTTTTCTAGATTCTCAAGGCTCATGTAATATCTTGACTTTAGGGTGGGCTGCCTCTGCTGACAGCCATGGATGTTAGAACTTGACACCTCCTTTCTTAGTATGAGCAATACATTGCCATTCTTTTGGGGAGGGTTCTGATGACCTTCTCCGGTCTTGCTGGTCCTGCTGATTCTCTTACACTCAGCCATGTCTTTCATCTGGTTCTGGGCTCTGACATTAGCCTCTGCCACAGGGTCCCCTCACTCCTTACCATGAAAGCTTCTGGAGACATGCTGGCTCTCAACTCTTAACTACTGTCTGGACTCTACCAGTGTGTGTAAGAACATTTCAACTCTTCATGGCTCTAGATTGTTGAGACTGAATAGACCACAAATAATTAAAAATGATGAACTTTTTAGACTCATGGCTATGGGACAGCTACATGTTTTCTCTAAGCTTGTTTCCTCTCCTGAACAATGAGAGTAATGGTGAATCTTCTGGTGTTTATTTGAGACATATGCGTAAAGCACTTAGAACAGTGCCTGTTACATATCAGTTCCTCACTAAATGTTAGCTTTTATTATTATTATTGCAAATATATCCATTACACCCTTGTAATAGTTAAAAATTGGGAAAACAGATATTTATCAATAAGTGAATGACTAAATACAGAGTGAAAAGTACACAGTATAGTGTTCTATATCATGAAGTTAAGAATGAGGGTATCCTAATTGTAGTAAGAAGATAAGATCTCCAAGATGAATTGCTTAATAGAAAAAAGGAAATTGTAGAATTATATATGGAACAATACTATTTATGTTTCAGAGAGACAAAGTGAGAGAAAGAGAGAGAGATTAGACTGATAACTGGGATGGCAGTTGGGTGGTAATCAAGTAGGATTTTATCTTTACAACTAGTTTTCAATTTTTACAATAAAAATGGTGGCTATCATATCTAGGGAAGAGAGGAAAAAAAACTTTTAAAGCCACTTAAAATACTTGATCTTTACCAAAGTATCCCCAGAAGGAGTCTGTGGCACATTCAATGAAAACTCTTTAAAATCTTCCTCGGACCTCCACTGCTTCTCAGGGTCCCTCGCCATCTACCAAGTTGCAGCCAGTCACACTCTTCCTTCTCCCTTTCTACAACTACAAGACTCTTTCTCTACCTTCATTTGTTTCCTTTTCATTTTTCCAAAAATTTAAAAGTAGACTATTTCATTCAGAAACGAATTTAACCTGTTGCTATATACCCAGCACTATAATAAACACTTTGTCATATCTGCTTCAGGTCTAATTTCTTCTTTAACAAGAAGTAAGTCAGGGTAAGATACAAATTGACAGTGCGTTGGAAAGCTAAAAACGAAGACTTTCAGTAGTAGTTACTGAAATGCCAGTGAATCCAGACTTGCTTCACACCTCTTGGGGTGCAGCTTTCCATCTGACACCCCTTTTTAGGGCACCCTTGACCTCTTTGTTGCGAAGGCTGTAGATGAAAGGGTTCAAAGTCGGCGTGATCACCGCATAGATCACACTAGCCAGGCGGTCGTAGCGGGCCGAGTAGGCAGACGGCGGCCGGAAATAGACGGAGAGAACAGAGCCAAAGAAAAGCAACACCACCGCCAGGTGGGCCCCGCAGGTGGAGAAGGCGCGCCCGCGGGCCCCTGCCGAGCACACTCCCAGCACCGTGATGAGGATGCGCACGTAGGACAGGGACACGAGGAGCAGCGGGGTCAGCACCACAACCAGGCCCTCGGAGAAGATGGCAGTCTCCGCGGCGGACGTGTCCGAGGTCGCCAAACTCAGCATCACCGTCATGTCGCAAAAGAAGTGGCGCACGGGTGCACAGTGCGGGTAGGCGAGCGCGGAGATGAGCAGCGTGTGTAGCAGCGAGTGCAGGTGGGCCACGGCCCAGGACGCGCGCACCAGTGCCACGCAGCGCCCGGTTGTCACCACCGCACGGTAGTGCAGGGGCCGGCACACGGCCACTGCGCGGTCGTAGGACATGGCTGCCAAGAGGTAGCTCTCGGTGATGCCCAGAGCCACGAAGAAGTACATTTGGGTGAAGCAGGCCTGGAAGGACACGGCCGGGCCCGGGTGGAGCAGGCCAGTCAGCAGCCTGGGGACTGTGACTGTGGTAAAGCAGATGTCCACGAGGCTCAGGTGACCCAAGAAGTAATACATGGGGGAGCAGAGGGCCCAGTCGGACCTCACCACCACCACCATGCTCAGGTTGCCCAGGGCATTGAGCAGGTAGATGCCAAGGAAAAGCAGGAACAGGAGCGGGCGGGCTTCTGTTCCATCCACCAAGCCGAGGAGGAAGAACTTTGGGGTGGTTGTGAGGTTGGCCAGAGCCATGGAATCCCCGGACAGGTGGGAATGCTGAGGGGAGAGAGGAGGCAGCAGGCCTAAATTCTGGAACTTCAGGTAGATCTCCTGCATGTTGAAGTTCCATATATAAACATTAATATGTCTATACATATCTATAAATCTATATGTATATTTCTGCTCCCTGAAATGGATTAAAAATGACATTGCTCATATAATAACTTTAATTTTATAAAGAAACTGAATTTCAGAAGGGTCTTCTGGGTAGTGAGTAAGTCTCAAGCTTTGGAGTAGGTCATTCCTGGTTTTGAGTCCTGGCTCTACCATGAAAGTGGTGTGCCCTCTTTGAGCTTAAATTTCCTCTTCTTTAATGAGGAAAATACCAATAACTAACGCTGGAGCTGGCTGTGAAGATAAAGTGAACAATAAGTTAAAAATACCTAGCGTTGTGCCTGGCACATAATAAACTTTCAAAACTTCTATCTATCATCAATCTATCATCATGGGATCATGTGATCGTTATTTGCTTAATCAAACAATTAGTTAGGCCCCAGTTAAGACTCAGGCCATTTAAGTCATCTAAATTTCTTCAAAAAGTACCTTACTGCATTTTCCATTCATTTCTTGACCATACATTCAGCACTAGTTCAGGAACTGACCAACTTTTTTTGTAAAGAATCATATAGTAAATATTTTAGGCTTGTGGGCCACAAAGTCTCTGTTGCAACTACCCAATCTGCCACTGTAGTGCAAAAGCAACCATCAACAATAAGTAAATGAATGGTCATGGCTCTGTACCAATAAAACTTTATTTACAAAAGAGGTGGTGGGCTGGATATGGCCTGTGGACATAATTTGTTGATCCTTGTACTTGATACTGTGAGAGGCAGAAAGATGAATGAGTTGTAGCTTCTGCTCTCAAATAGTTTGACCTGGAACAGTTGGCAGCATGTTTAGGATTTTGTTAATTTCATGAGCCTGAACCAAGTGGGAGTAAATTACTCTTCCAGGAGGAGTTTGGAAAGAACTCAAAGAAGAGGTGAGATTTGAACTGAGTCTTGAAGAATGAACAGGGATTTACCAAACACACAATGTTGTGGAGGGAGAGGGGAGGTATTCCAGACAGGATGAAGAGATTGTATGGGGCTGTTGGTAGAGAAGGCATGGAGTGAAGAGGGTAAAGCATCCATATATGCCAAGGACAGGGCCTTGCTTTGACCTCAGTGCATAATATTGATTGGACAGAAAACTTCTAAATTTCTCAGTTAACCAAGGAACTTCAGCTATCTCAGAAACAATGCACTCATTTTGTCACTCAGTTAATCTCTTTCTAAAATGCCATGTTCTTTTCTCCCTTGCTCCAAGTTTTCTAGAAATGTTTTACTACTAAACTATCCCACCTGCTCTTATCCAGGCACAAGTCAGGCTTTGGTGAGGTCCTAGAGAATGGAAGTCAGCTCTTAGCAGGGAAGGGCCTCACAAAAAGAAACTGTATCTCACTGTCCTGCCCAGTGATCTGTACACAAAATTTATCCAATATATGTTGAAAGAAGCTTTTGGAAAAGCAATGAGTGAAAACAGGTGAAGGGAGGGTGAAGGAGAGGGAATGATGGGCAAACTCCAGTGACCCATCAACTGTTATACCTGTCGACTTCCAAAGGCAAGTCTTAGATATAGCCTTTTATTTCCTGCTTTTCTATCATTGTCACCCATTAGTTGTCCCAGGGAAATCATCTGCTATGCTCTTGCCAACCTTACTCTTTTCCCCAATATAAGGTAGTAGCATTGAAGAGCCAGGACCTTGGCAACCCTCTAACACATCCTTTATTACAGTACAGGATTCTCCTCTGCAGAGCACTGACTACTCCCTAACTTCTTCTTGGGCAACTGTGTGATGCAGTGGAGAGAGTACTCATTTTGGAATCAGTGCCACCTGGGTTTTAATCCTGATTGACTGTGTAAACGTGGACTCACCTTCATTTCCTCTCTCCTCTTCTGTCTATAAAGTGGGACTGTTGATTCCTCTCTTAAGGGGTTGATGTCAAGATTAAATGAGGTAATGTATGTACAAGCATGTAGCAGAGAATGGATGATAACAGACAGTAGTTCCCTTTTTCCCAAGCTTCTCTCTGCTTCCTGATGACTTTTCGAGATAGTTCAGTCCAGTACTGGAAGACTGTAGTTATTTCTTCATCTCAGGTGAAACTTACTTTCCTGTAACTTCTACAGATGATTCCAATTTTGATTTTGGGCCTAGACATGCTAAATCTGCTTTCTCTGCAGCTTTTTACATAGTCATTAAAGGAATCTATTTTAGGTCTATGAAGTCTTCAACCCAAGTACCCATAGTACTGTAGATCTTTTCGTATAGGACCTTACTTCCAGGTCCATTTTGGTCACCCTTTGCTTTGTTGATATTTTCTTTACAGGATTTGGACAGTACTTTAGCTGAGGTTAAGCTGTGTAATAGCTTAACCATACAATTCATGCCCATTTATTGAGTCCTGCTCTGAGTCAGGCATTGTGTTGGCCCCTGGGGCTATAGATGTAGGTCGGCCATTGTTGATCTCCATCCAGGCACAGTGTAATAAGCATTACACTAACTGCATGAACAAAGTGAGGGAGAGTGCCTCTGCTTGGCTGATTTGGAGATGATTCCAAAGAAGAGGTGAAGTTTGAACTGGGTTTGAAAGAATGGGTAGGAGATCACCTGATATATAGGTGTTTGGGAGTAAGAAGGGCATTTCAGGCAGGGAAAAGCACAGGCACAAGAAGATGTTTTATGGTTGGGTGAGCTTCCTCCATAATGCTGTAAGGCAGATTGGATGGAGGTGGGATGAGGAGGAAGATAGGACACAGGAAAAGAAGATGGCAGAGAAGTGCTCGGTTCTCTTACCTGAAGGACAACATGTCCAAACTCAACACTGTTTGCTGAGTCTGTGGGCTGGTCTCCCTCCTGATCAGAGGTCTCTAGTCTTAAAGGCAAATGCATTGGCCTCCATCTCAGCCCAGAGATGTTAGTGGGTTTCTGTGGGGTGGGACAGAAGCCCTAAAGAGAAAGAAAGCCAGAGCTATAAGGGCCCTGGAAATTCCAGAGCCATGCTCTTTCTACTCAGCTTACATTCCTGCCTGTCTCCTTATTGACCACTGAATGCAGGACAGAGTCGTTTGCACTCATACAAACATCCCATTATCCATTGGATACAGTGCAGATGGTTCAGTCTCACACCCTAAGCTTTCTAACATGCCTCCTAGTTTCTTCTCCAGTCTTGGCTTCACTGCCTCCATAGGCTTCCCCTTCCCCCACCCCCGCCAGGTGGACCTTGTTGCTGCCTCTTGCTTACCCCTTTCTCACATGCCATTCCCTGCACACTCCTCCCTACTGAAATGCTCTTTCTACTGTATCCCAATACCCAGCTCCAGCTCCAATTCCACCAAGAAACCCCACGTCCTTTCTTGAGTCCTCTGGCCTACAGGGATACCTCTCTCCTCTGACTTTTATAACTTTCACTGGGGTCTTAGTCCTCATTTTCTGGTATTGAAGAGACTTTTTCATGCTCATCTTTCCTACTAGATGATGAGCCTTCTGAGGGTAAATATTGTTTTTTTCTTTTCTTGTCTGACTGTAGGCCTGGCACAGGACCTTGTCCGAAATCTCTCTTAAAGTCAGGAAGGCTCCATAGAAGAGGAGGAGTTTGAGAAGGGCCAGCTTGAAGGACAAGACATCCATTGAATAGACAAGGGTGGAAGGAAATTCTAGAAAGAGGGAACAACATATGCAAAGGAAATTACAAGAGAAATCTCTTTGAGCTTCATTTTTTTTCTCTTTAAAAGTAGGATAATAATACCATCTTCATAGTTTGCTTATAAACACTTTGGAAATAGTAGGTGTTTAATGAATATCAATTTTACTCCCCCCATCTCCTAATGACTTTAGGTGATAAGGAGCTATGTTGACTGAGTTTGTGTTGGCACCTCCTGAAATGCCTGGTATAGGATTGGGTTCCCTGGTTACTGAATTACTGTTGTTGACACAGAGTCCTTTCCTAAGGCCCAGATATGGCAGATGTCTGCTTTGAAATGGTCAGGAAGGATTATTTAAGGCCCTGAAATGAACCGGGGATGCTTAAGATCTAGGACCAGAAGTCCTCTCTTCCAGGCAACTTACTGCCCTAAACCCTATGTGGAGAGAGTCATGTAGGTAAGAAACATTCAGATGCCAAAACACAGAAGCACAGACACAGACATATCCTGATACATCCAGACACATGGGCATTACAGAGACATACTCACACCCACTGGGACAGAAACATAGGCACGGGGCACACAGAGATACTCACAGTTACTTATACACAGACCGAGACACATAAGCAAATTCATGCAATAGACAGAACGTAGTCCTACACACCACATACACATGCAACCCCCCCCACAGACCCCCCCATGCACAAATGCCATAGACATAGACACCTCAACGAATGCTCCCAGACATGCTGAGGCCAACGCATGAATCTATATACAGACACCCATACACCATCTCCCTCCTTCCTCTCACTCTCTCTTGTCTCAGGTTTGTCTGCCTTAACAGAGTGGGGAGTGGACAGTGATAAACAGGGAGACATCACTGGTTCCCAGTGCCCTCAATCATGGGGCTTCTATCCATTTCCTTGAATTCAGTCTTTTCCTGGCCAACCTAAATGCGGCTCTCAATGGAATCCCAAATAACTTTCTCTTCAATCACTCTCTTACCTGAGATGAGCCTTTTCTATTCCCCTTCTCTACTTTTCTCTACCAACTTCTCACCCCTTTCTCCTCGGTAATTTATTCAACATACTTAACTGTTGTATCTACTCAAGCTAGGCAGGTGCTTGAGCACCAGGTGAGGAGGGTATCCAGAGATGAGTGAGACACAAAGAGCTCACCTTTCCTGTCGTGTATCAGGAAACTGGCAAGATTCCTGGATATCATCACATCAAACACCATGTCATAGTCTTGGAGAACAGCACCCAGAGAACTATGCCTGAAGTCAT